TTCATGTGCGTGTGTGTATGAACATGAATGTGAACCTGTGCAGGGGTGAACACCGCACCCACGTGAACAGGTTCCCCAGGTGGCCAGGTATAAGTGCAGCCATATGGAAGTCCCATGAATACTTGGGGGAGAGCATTCACAGCAGAGGGTGCTTGAGAATGTGTACCTGGGTCAACTCAGGAGAGCCCTCGTGCACATATGCACTCCTGTGTGTGACCTAAATGTGTGAGTTCAGTGATGGGAAAAGCATGGTGTCCCATGTTGGACCACAACTGAGTGGCCAATCTCTACAAGCCTTTCTAGTTAACAAGGGACTTTTCTGTCCATGATTTGCTTTGACTCCCATAGAAGCCTTGTGGGTAGGTGAGACAGTGTTGTTACCATATACATGTATGTGTGCATGTGTGTGTGTCATGTATACAGATGTCCCATCTAGTATTGCTGTTAGATTTTACCAGAGACAAGTAGCATTTGGATTTTGCTACAGAACAAGTAGGAAGGTTACAGTATAATACACAGACCACATTTGAATCTGGCTGTGCCCTGACTACTTGTGTGACCTTGGGCACATCTCTTCTTTCTCTGGGACTCAGTTTCCTCATTGGTAGTTTGGAGGGAGGAGCAGAGAGGGAGGAATAGATGACCTCTAAGAGCCTTCCCATCTCTGATATTGTGTGATTATCTACCTATGTCATAAGAGGAGGGAATTGAGAGACAGTAGAGAGAATTGACACTTTCAAAGTCACTCAGAGGTCATGGCTGAGATGGAGCTCCAGCTGGATTCTTCACCTCCCAGGTCAGTGCCCTCTAGGAACTGATATGCCCACCTGAATAACAAAAGAAAGGATTCATGTTCGGGGCACTTGTTATATGCATAAAACCATGCTAGGCACTGGAACAGAGCAAAAGGACACATCAGAAAATGGTCCTCGGTGTGTGTGTGTTTGTGTGCATGTGTGTGTGTGTGAGAGAGAGAGAAAGAGTCATATGCATGTTTGGTTGTGCTGAGAGGCCATGGATACCTTCCTGGCCCCTTCTGGACTCCAGGGAAAAAAACATCAGACATATATGGAACTATTTATACTGGGTTCATCTCACACCCAAATGCCCCTAACCCTAGACCAGCTCAAAGCAATACTGATCCCTGGCCTGGCCTCTTACCACCTTCCCAGTATTCCTGGATTCTGAGGTGTCACCCTTTAGCTCCCAAATGGGTCGCTCTATTCCTAAACCCGACAGGGTCAGAGTAGAGGATTGAGGGAGAGTCATGGAAAAGGAGCAGACGATACCTGAGACCCTAACCCTGGAGTTTTCAAGTATGGAATAAACCTTATTCTTTGCTTTGTTGCCCCCAGTATATAGTTTAGAAATCTGCTTCTAACAAGTCATGTGACTGACCACCTACTCCGTGCCAGGCACTTTAATAACACAACCTCACCGAATTCTCATAGCATCTCTGTAAAGCAGGCACTGATTAATGTCATTTTGCTGACAAGGAAACTGAGGCTCAGAGAGGACTTGCTCAAAGGCATACTGCTAGTATGTGTGCATGTGGGTGTGGGGTAGGATTTAAACCCAGATTTGTTTGCTTCACCCTCCTCATACCTCTTCAGCTGATACAGACTTCCACATGGTGTGGGATGGTAGGGGGCTTGGTTTCCCCATTATGACCACAAGAAGGTTGAATGAGATGATCTGAAGGGCCCTTTCAGCTATAGCAGGCTCTGCCATGGCCATGCCCCTCCCCTCAGTCAGCTCTTCCACAGCCATGTGATTGCTGACAGGGGTTCTAGCTCAGAGAGTGAGGGTGGTTCAGAGCAGCCCTTGCCCTTGACTGAGCTTACAAGCCCAGAGAGCCTGCCTTTCTGACTGGGGCCTCAAAGCAGCAGAATTGGAAAAGGGAGCACAAAGTCCTAGCACATGTTGTGGATCTGACAGGCTGCTTCTTAGCTCCAAGATCTAGCCATGTATTGATTAGCGTCTGCCAAGGACACACACAACCACAGCCTTCCTGCATGTGCATATGCATGCATGCACTTTTGTACTCTACATAATTTGTGAATGTGCCTGGGTCTGTGTGTCTTTGTATGTCCTTGCATGCTTGTATGTGGGAGACAATGTATCTGTGTGCATGTGTGCCTACCTCTGTATATGCATGCATGCATACATGTGTGAGTCTACATGCTTGTGTACATGCACTGTGTGCATACGTGCACTTGCATGTGTTTGTACCTGGGTATGTGTGTGTTTGTCTCTGTGTGTGCATGTGTGTATGCATGCTTGAATGGTATGCTTGTGCATATGTGTGTGTAGCTAAGTGTGTACAAATGCATGTGTATGGCCTTTGTTTGAGGACACGCACATGAGTGTGTGTGTGCATTAAAGTGCCTGGGACCTGGGATAAAGATCCTTGACCTTCTCTTGGGGCTCTCCTAGCCCAACTGCTTCTAAGAGGCTGACATGGGTTGGGGGTTTTGTTGGTGTATTAGTCCGTTTTGTGTTGCTATAACAGAAAAACCTGAGACAGGGTAGTTTATAAGGAAAAGGGGTTTATTTGGCTTATGATTCTGGGACAGCTGCATCTGGCACGGGCCTCAGGCTGCTTCTACTCGTGGTGGAAAGTGGCAGGGAGCCAGCGGGTACAGGCAGATCACATGGTGAGAGGAAGCAAGAGAGAGAGAGGACGTGCCAGGGTCCTATAAACAGGAAGCTCACGCAGGAACTAATAGAGCGAGAACTTACTCATTACTCCCCCCACCTATGGAGAGCATTAATCCATTCACAAGGGATCCGCCCCCATGACTCAGATTCCAACAGGGCCACATTGGGGATCAGATTTCCATATGAGTTTTGGAGGGGACAACACATCCAAACTCCATCAGTTGGGCATCTGAAAACTTGAGCTAATGAGTGCAAAGGGATTTAAATCCAGGCCAAACATCCAGAACAGTTAACCAGGGGAGTGAATAGCGGTGCCTCTCAGAAGTCAAAGCTCAAAGGCTCTTTCTTTATTCGTTTTTTTTAATTGAAATGTATTGATTGTACATGTTTATGGGGTACAGAGTTATATCTCAATACATGTATATGATGTGTAGTGATCAAATCAGGGTTGTTAGCAAATTCATCATCACGAAAATTTATCATTTCTTCAAAGGCACTGTCAATTCCTCCTTCCGCTGTCCTTATCATTCTGTCCAGCTCTTCATCATCTCCTCCTCACCCACGCTCACTGTCATTGCAGCCACCTCCTTCCTGGCCTCTGCATCTCTACTTGGACCTTTCTACACTCTCCCCACCTGCTGCTGCCAGAGTGCTTTTCCCAAAACAGTCCATTTAATTATATTCCTACTTTATGAACTCAGTCCCCACCCCACCCCCATTCCCTAAAACAGTACTCCCCAGACTTTGGGAATTCATGGCTGAGGAAAACAATTTTTAAATAAATAAACAGGGGAATAGTCAGCATGTTGCAAACTTTTTTATTTTGCCGGGGACAGACATTTAAATATTTTCTCACTCCTATTATGTTAAAGAAAGATCATTTGAACCCCTACCTCCATAGGAAGGACACAGTAACCTCCAAATTAAGAATAGTCCTTGAAGTTGAATTAATTTAGCTTTATGAAAACTGCAGTACATTATCCCTACTTTTCTCTGGTTTCACCACTGATGGGTGAAAACTCTCATTCGGGATTACCACTAGGTGAGGACCAAATTCCGGACCCAATTCCAAACCCTTTAGGAAGTCGCCCCTGTTTTCCCCTCTGTAGTTCCTCTCCCCTCGAACCCTACCCTTAAGCCATAGCTCAAAACGTGCCCTTCCCCCAGCCCACCACCATTTGACTGCTTCCAAACTCTTACTCACGGAGTTCCCTCTGCCAGGCATGCCTGGAATGCCCTTCCCCCCTTTTTGGACTAACAAACTCTTCTCTTCCTTCAAGCCTCAGGCTCAGCCCAAATGTGACCTCCTGTGAAACTTTTCCAAGTTCCTCCCAGTGGAATGGATCTTTCTTTCCCAAGGGTCCCAGAATTCCTTTCATCCTATCTTATAGTCAGGCTAGTTGAGTGAAAGTCTTCCTACTGGGCTGGACTGTGGGGAGCCATGTAGTGTCAAGAAAGGCATGGACTTAGGAGTTCAGATCCCAGCTCTGCCAGGCATATCTGAGTGACCTTGTAAATATTTCTTAACTGCTCGCAGTGTCCTCTCCCCATCTATGAAAGCAGGAAAACAATGGGTGTGGTGAAGATCACCACCACAGTGAATGAATTGAAAGTGCCTAGGTCTGGCACATAGTGGATACTAAGCAAATATTAGGTCCATGGTTCTTGAGAGCAGAAATCATGCCTTACACATCCTTGTGGGTTCTGCAATGCTCATGTATTCCACCAAGACCAGGACGTAGTAGGCACTCAACAAACATTTGCTGACTGACTGACTATATAGCACAGTGTCTGGCATATAGTAGGTGCATGGTAAATATTCACTGCTGTTTTTTATCTCCTCTTTGAAGACAGAAGCTATGCTCTTTTTTTGTCTTTGTGTAGCTCCCATGGTGCTTAGCACAGAGTAGATGCTTGATATATGTTAATGGAAATTAATAATAATAATGATGATGATAATAATAATAGTAGATATCGTTACTAGTGTGGATGCTACATACCAGGCATCATGCTAGGAAGTTTATACATTTACCTCTAGTATTTGCATACATTTAATATGTAACCTAAATACACCAACCTCATCTCCGGGAAGCAACAGAGGCAAGTTTTATGAAAACAAGCCAGCTCACCTACTTGTTTTCAAGGGAAAGAAGCAGAAAATCACAGAGCTGGTTAAGTGACAAAAGCGAAACTTGAACCCATAACTTTCTAGCTCCAAGACCCTTGGGTAGTCTCAGAAATCCATCTGGCCTGCCTTCCCAGCTGGCACACAGGGGTCCCAGCTGCCTCCTTCCCTCCGAGCGGTGAGTGGGCTGGGCTGGGGCTGGGCAGCCACTTACCTTCACTTTCCTGAAGCAAGCCCAGAAAAAATCCAAGAGAGGCATGGTGGAGCACAGGAGCTGGCAGGGCCCAGCAGGACTCTGCTGAGCAGGGGCCTTTCCCTCTCTGGGGACTAGGCTAGAGGGGACCAGGGGCTCGGTGAGAGCCAGTCATGGCCCTGTAATCCATCAGCCGGCACTGCGAAGGGAAAGGTGAAGAGCAGCAGCTGGCCTGAGCTCAGCTGCCTCGACTGCAGGCGCCTCCCGCCTCCCAGCCTGGTCTGTGAGGGAGGGAAGAGGGGAGGAGGGAGGGAGGGAGACTGGCTAAGAAGGAGGGGCCAGGAGGCGGGTCACTGATTCAAACTCAGCACCGTTAACCAGTTGGCTGGGACTGGACAGCAATGCCAATTGAAATTCCCTGAATATTACAATTGCCCAGCTCGGGGTGTCCAGCCCACAGGCTGGCTCAGCTGCCAGTCCCGCACCTGCATGCTGGCACGCCCACCTGCCTGCTTGCCTCCCCACCGGCTACCACACCAGCTCTCCCTGGGAGCCTCCCGGTACAACCATGACCACGCAGGGGCTGTGGAAAGAGTGGTGGAGAAAAGGGCCAAGGGAGGAGAGCCTTGAGCCCAGGCAGGATCCAGGAAGGTGTGAAGAGAGTCAGTGGAAGGGGAAGAGTTTGTGGCCTTGGGAGCCCTTCTCAGACAGGAGCCCTCACCCTGCATCAGGGGCTCATTCTCCAGCCCTGCCCTAAATTCAGGAATCTTGACTCACTCTGACACCTCAGGGAGGCCCCTTCCTTCTGGGTTTCAGTTTTCCCGGCTGCACAATGAGAAACAGGGTTATAGGTCTCTAGGTCACAAGTCTGTTGTATGACTCCTGTTTGGGGGTAGGTACAGGGCAAGTCTGGAAGAAACTTTTTCCTAGACAACAATTAACAGCTCCTCTCAGAACTCCCACGCTGCCTCTGGGAGTCCATAGGATATCAGGTAATGCCCCAAAGAGAATCTGAGCCCTCAAAGGCCATTTCATCCATCCCTTGCCTTGGGACATAACAGCTCTCTCCCAGCTCAGATAGACTGGGTGTATGTCCTTTTCTGAACATCTTCTGAAGAGATGATGGCTTCCCTCCTTTATCCACTCCCATGCTTAGAACCCTTTAAGTCCAGAAGTTTAGCCTGGAATCTAAACTAGAACCTTCTGGATGCCCTGAAGTTGGTTTTTTCAGAGGAAATAGAGTTAGCACTAGGCAGTTCTAGGGGCTTTCTGGGCAGGAAGCCATTAAGAGGCAGTTATCCTCCCCTCCCCCACCCCTCTCCAGGCCTCAGAAGGCAGAGTGCCATGGCTGGTAGCCAGAAGGCTCCCAGGGACCCCATGGCAAAGGGCCAGGCTTGGGTCTCTGGTGGGGGGGCGGGTACATGTCATCATGAGGTCCAGAATAACTTACTCCCCCTGGCCTCACTTTCCTTTCAGAGACCAGAGCTGGTCAAACAAAGGGCCAAGTCCTGGGACCCTGGAAGGTCCTAAGCCTGCTTTGAACAAGCCCCTGCTTGCCTCCAAATACTTTCCTCATCAGTGGTTTTGTCATGAGGTTTGTCCAGACCTAAGAGTCTGTAAGGATCTTCCAGCTCTGCTTACAACTTACTCTGTGGCCCTCAGTTTCCCCATTTGTACCCTGAGGAAGTTGCAATAACTGATTTCTCACCTTCTCTCCAGCTCTGACCTCAGAGGTATCGCAGATGTGAGTTCTGTTGGGTTTGGTTAGGAAGATGGTCAGCGAGAGCCAAGACAAATGGCTCCTTCCCACCCACCTCCAACTGAACACAGGCCTATAAGGGGAAGCCCCTGCATGGGACTGGGGACCAGGTACAACATGAAGGGCCAGAACAGAGAGAGTGTTTCCTCCTTTGAGCATATGCCCTCTCTCCCTGCAGCCAGAGGCCTGAGGATGGAGAACCATGGAGTAACTATTGTTGGAGCAGCAGCATGGCTGCCTAGGATGGCCACATAATCTCTTCTCCCTGAAGTTCACCTCCTTCTTTAGACTTGGGCACCTCGGAGGAGGTACATCAGCTGTGGCTTTGGGCATTCACTGGGGAGGCAATGGTGCACAACACACCACACCGACCTGAGGAACTAGGAGATTTCAGTTTCAGTTCTGGTCCTCTCTGGCCAGTTTAGCCTTGAGGTGATTAAGCCCATGAACTCTGGAAGTGGACTGCCTGGGTTCAAATGCCAGTTCTGTTACTCTAACTGGGTGACCTTGAGCCTGTTACTGCCTTAGTTTCTCCATCTGCAAAATAGGGGTAATAATAGTACCTACCTCGCTGGGAGGTTTGAACTGAATGAGTTAACGCCTTTAGGACAGTACCTGGCAGAAAATAAGTTCTTCTCAATAAATATTATTTGTTATTATTGAAGAAGCAGGGGTTTTGGAGCCAGACAGACTTAGATTTGAATGCTGGTTCTGCTACCTTCTAGTAGTGTGTCCTTACAAAAGCCACTTCACTTCTCTAAGCCTGTTTCCTCATCTGTCAACTGTGGACTCACTGCTTACATAAGGGAGCTGCTGTTAAGAGTTAACCAGATTATATTTATATGCACTTACTATGGTTGGCACATAGCAAGTGCTCAATAAATGTTAGTTCCCTTCCTCCCTCTTCCTGTCCTGAATGCTCCTGACTCTCCCTGCTTCTGGTCAAGCAGAAGGAGCATTGATTTGGCATCATCTAGATGTGAGTTCAAATCCAAGCCCAGCTACTTTTTGGCTGTTTAACCCCCTTAGGCAAGTCACTTTACCTCTGGGACCCTCAGTTTCCCTAGCTGTAACATGAGGATAAGGATAAAGATCCCTTCTTGCCTCCTAGATTTGTCATTAGGAAAAAAGAAACATGAAGGGCCTGATGTGAAGTGGGTTCTCTCAGTCAACACAAGTCCTCCCTCCTCCCTTGTTTCCTTCCCCCCACCCCCCACCCCATGGGGCTTCTGAATCTGGCAGGCCTTCCCTTGCCTCACACTCAAGACTTGCCATGATCGGCATAGCAAGCACAAAGCATGCTTTCTTAACCTCCCAGAACAAGACTGCTTTACACTATTAAACATTACTCAACTATTAAACGTTGTTGAAGAGTTTTTTATTTATGAGGGTTATAGCTATCAATATTTACCATATTAGAAATTAAGACTGAGATATTTAATGAACATTGATTCATTCATTTTAAAAGCATGCTTATAACTTAAACATAGGATAAATAACATATTTTAAGAACATATTTTTATATATTTTTTACAGAATAATATTTTCCAAAACAAATGTAAATATACTGAGAAAAATGATATGGTTTTACATTTTGTTCTATTCTCTTTAATACCTGGCTTAATGGAAGAGAGCTGGATTCTCATACCTGTCTCTGCATTTAGTTTGTTGTGAGATGCAGTTTGCGTTGAAGTATCTGAAAAAAAATCCTGCTTCTTGCAGATTTGTACTTTGAAAAGGGAGACCTCATTGACCCTTGGAAAGGTTCAAGGACCCCCAGGGATTCTTGGACCATACTTTGAGGACCACTGCATTAGGCAATCTTAATTAAACCTCATTAGAGAATCCTGAGACATCTGAGCTGGAAGAGTCTTGCAGAGCATCCAGTTTGAAACCTCTCCTTGTGCAAAAAGAAAAACTGAGGCCCAAATAAGGAAAGGGGTTACCCAATTTCACACAACAAGTTAGTGGCAGGGCTCAGATTTAGGTCCAGGTCTCCTGCTTCCTAGGAAAGTTCTTTTCCCACTGCCTTTGAATAAAATACAGCTTTATAGTTCTAAAAGGCGGCCTAGTCTGGGTGGTAGAGATGCTTGGATTCTAGCGCCAGGTCTGTCACTGATGCAACAGTCAGAGCTTTTCGGAGTATCCAAAGATTATAGCACAGGCTATCCCATAAGCTAGTGAGCTTCGAAAAGTTTGCCCAAAGAACCTCTCAGGTTGCTTTCAGCCTGAAGAGCCTAAGAAAGATGTCTATAAATGGTACTTGCATAACAGTTCAGGCAGGGTTCCAATGGCAGGGCCAAATCAGTCACTTTTCCAGGTTGAACAGGGAAAATGGTAGGCAGAAAGAAAATGTAGAGGAATTATTCCACATTTATTTCATTAAATAATGATTTATGTATTTGTCTATACTCTACCTTTCATTCAGCATCGTCCTGTTATTCATTCAAATATTTATTTGACACCTACTATAAACCAGGTAATGGGCTGAGTGCCTTGTTCCATCAAAAGTGACTTCATCACGAGTGATCTCAGATGAAAATAACACGTCTCATTGCTGTAGAAAACGACCTGCCTCACCTTTTACTTCAATCTCTACCTGTTCATTTTATGCTCATTTTAGTGAGCGCCACAGACTCAGTGAACCCTCAACTATTGCATGCGTTGGGGGGTAATAGTGAGAAATTAGAAAAGCGAACCTGGACAGAACTTGGCACTTGTATTTCATCTTTTTTTTCTTGGTCTCTGAGTATTTACCAATCTTTCAATTAATGCATTCCACCATAATGAAGGGATAGGGCAAAACCCAATGGAAATAGTTTCCTAGCATTCCACAGGAAGGCAAGGACTTGGAAAAGGCATAAGTCTGCATTTCCATTTCCAGTAATTACTGTAGAGAATAGAGTGAAGTGTTCCTATGAGACAAACATTTGTGTAACAATCTCCAAACAGCAATTTACTCTCCTAGAGAGGAATATGGTATTATATACAACTCCTCGAGGGCTGAAACTTTCATCTGAGGGGACACGGTTTTCCAAAGCACATGTACTTTCAATGCAAAGACACTCACATTGGCATCTAGCACTTCCTGTCAATAGGTTACAGGATCTTATACCCAGGCCTTTTACTTTTACTCATGTATTCATTCATCCATTAATTCAGTAGACTTTACTGATCACCACTCTGTGCTTGGCCCTGAGGATAGAGATAATGATGATGATTAATAACAATAGCTAACATTTACTGAGCACTTTATGTGTACCCTTTCTGTTCTAAGCACTCTCAAACCTTACCTCATTTAGTTTTCGCAGCAACCCCATGCAGAAATTACTCTTATAATTCCCATTTTATAGATGAGGAAACTGAGTGCCAGAGAGGTGGTGTTGGGCTAGGGCTCACACCCTTCAAACCTGTTGTACAGACTGGGTCACAGACCCCTTATATACAGACTGGATCACAGACCCCTCACATGCCAGGCTGGGTCACCAAACCCATCACATACAGGTCATGAGC